TTTCCACCATTTTGAAAATGAAATAACAACGGAATTTGTTCCTTTCGCTGATCGTCTCAGTTACTAACGTCACGCAAGCAGCAATCCTGTGTCTTAAGATATGACGTCAGCAGCAGATCGAAAAACACTGTTCCCCAGATATTAATATGACTCGATCAATATGATTATAATAATTTGAGAGAAAAGCATGCAGGGTTAATGTAGGGTTAGAAATATCACATCGTGGGTATAACTGAAACATCTAGAAAGCAACGTAACAGAGAGTCTGTTTAACGTGTGAATCCACTCTCTCCGCAGATGTTAATATGACGTCATCAGGACAAAACGATTTGAGTCATTTTCGTTGAGTAGGCATTGTTCCAAATTAACCCTGCTGTTGTCATTGCGTTATTTTTAGAGATCAGTGCATGCATTAATACCGTGAATGCGTACCAAAGGACACGTTAATAATATTTGCATGGCCGCGATATTTACAATTCCCCAATCATCAACTAATATCTATCTACTCAACATGGAGACGACACACCGACGAACGGATTTCTCGTGACGCTGTAGATGCTCTAGTTGATTTCAAGAACGTGTATTGATATATACTTACCGCTACCTCGATGCCGAATCAGGTCGCTAAAGCACTGTCTCGCACCATCTCCAGTGCACACACAAATGTACTTTCTACGGCGCGTCGTGATTTTGAAAAATTCGCCTTGCGATGTCGACAGAAATACCGACTGCCTGACAAAGAAATTGTGGAGAAGCGAAGAACAGAATTGTATTATGTGTCCGAAGATCTAGCTTTGCGCATGCGTCGAAGGTTCGCCCGTCTGTCGTTGTAGTTCACACCGAGTACTGTATACAGGAGCGAATTACTAAAAGACAATAGATAGATGAATCGTCGCATACTCGCGAAACATTGCTAAATGAAATCGCTTAATGATTTAATTCTGAGCGTTTATTGCAAGATACCTTATGTACACATGCTATGTGTACAGCATTTTTGAAAGCTGTCGCACGTGGCGCTATTTCAGAGATAAGCACTAAATTACCACACTCATTTATACCCGCGTGATTTATACCGTAACAACCAATACAAAGATGTCCGTATAATTGAAATGTTGCATTTACTAGTAAGAATATGTGTATATAAATCTGAATACGACCTAGCGCCGTCAGAGTAGAAAACTGTTAGTAGTTCAGACAAACGGTGGTTTACGCCATACTATGGCACATACACATGTGTTTGCTATTTTGTATGTATCTAACACTATATTGTATTTTAAAAATCCAGATCCTGAACAGGATATGATTTCAGTAATGGCATTATTATTATTACACGAAAAACAATTCGTCTGACATTCTTGCTTTTGTACTTTACACGCCTTGTCTACGTTACATGGGACGAATATCGACCACAACGCGACGAGAAGCGGCGACCGTGTCGCTATAACGTTAGCAAAGGAGACCACGCTAAAGAAAGGGGGAAGCACTATACAAATGTTCACCCCGACAGTTTTAGCGACCCGAAGAGCTCATTGTAAACCTCGGACAATAAATATTAGTTGCCTGAGCGTAAAGCAAGGCAAAGCTTGATAACCTCTCAGCTCTCCTCTCTTTGTTTATACAGAGGTGGCGGCACGAAATGTTGCATGGGGGGGGGGGGGGTCAAGATCTGCTCATCTGCCTCATCGACCTTACTAACGACCTCTGTACCGACCCCGTGCCGCCGCCACTGTTATATGAGACCCATATCTCGCGCATGCGTTACGGTTACACGACGACCACCGTCTGATTGACAGCCAGCCGTACAACCCGTGACCACCCCGTTATACAGTGCACACATTGATATCGTATTTCCCAGTCTTGCACCTAACTCAACATAACACTGACTCAGAGACTTTTGTTTTCATAAAATAAAATGCCTCGAACGATTTATATTATATGTCAAGTTTACTGTCAATCTTTTCCACTAAGGGGTGACCCAACAGAAACTCTGGGGGTATGGCAGAACAACTATTATGCTGGATTTTTTTTTTCAATTTTGCCATTGCTCCCAGAGTTTTTTAATGGTCAACCCCTGAACTAGTATGTAGCTTCACGTGCCAGTTTACTGAAACTGAAAACGACTACGATTGGTTCGGTGGCACACCACTTGGTTTCCACTGAGTATGATACTTAACAGGTATGGTTGATATATTTTCAAGCATGCCAAGTTTATAAGCTATACAGGCATATAAATTTAGGCAAATTTTAATATAATTTCAGCTAACTTATGTA